AATCTTGCCTTTTAACTTAAAGTCAATGTATCTTGTTATACTATTTTTAATCTTTTGTGTTTCCCACCCACCACCTTTGACGTTTAGATTATATCCGAGAAAGTTAGAGAGATACAACTTTTCACTTTTTGAAAGTGAAAAGAGATTGTAAAGCAGTCTAAGTGATAAGAGTTTCATAAAGGTTTCTAATGGGTTGAAATATTCTTTTCTTTTTATAATTTTTTTTGACAATAAATGCTCTCTTCATACTTCTCCTTAAATACTTAAATAATAAAAGCAGCTTCACCTTCCATGAATAAATATAGAACATGGGCCAACAAAAAGGAAATATCAGGAATCTACAGAGGGGTATACGGTGATATTTGCATGTTCAAATTTGCAAATTGTCCCTTAAGTACATTTAAAAAGTATTCACACACATATATTTATTTTCAAAAGAGAAATGAATGCATGTAGACAGACAGATGGACAGATGGATGGATGAATGAATTCATCGTTGGGCAGGCGAACTGGAGGATGAATAGATAGTGACAAAACCAAACTTGACTTTAGCAAACGTTCATATCCTTTCAACTCATTATATTTCTATCGAATGATTCGAAAGAATGAAAAAAAAATGTACTCCGGGCCCCTTTTTTTTCACCCCAGCTTCCAATCATTAAACATATCGTCTAGTGTGTGGTCAATAGTGGTGATCAACTTTGGTCAGTTGTTATTATACTTTACGTGTAGCCCCAGGTCAGCTTTAACAATGGACAGTCCCAGTGGCCGCAGGTGACCAGCGGTCAATCGTGTTGCCGTATTTATTGTGCGCGATTAATTTTGAAACCTGACTTTGATCGGTGACCAAAAGGCTTCGTAGGTAATTTGTATTCCTTTTTTCAAGATTTGGTTTTCTGTCAGTGACGGAATTTGTACAAAAGAATGTTTGCCTTTGTGTGCCGATCGAGTCGAATCTGTACACTTGTCTTCCAATATTCTAAATTAAATTTTCTATCGTTCCAATTATTCTATTCATCGAAGAATCCGTGTATAAATTCGTATTTGTTGAATAAACTTGGTCCCCTGTTTTGAAGAACTAGTTATCCGTACGTCTACCCTCATACACGTAATCTATCTATGTGTTTCATAAAACAGACTGATTGATCCATTCATTTATTGATTGATTCCTTCGTCCTTCAGCCACCTGTCAATCCACTCAACCATTGGATTCTGGATATAGTCTGAGCTAGGTTTTGTAGTTATCGATGCAAATTACGGATTTCATCTTGTAAATATTGACAAATGATGTTATATCTATTAACACATTAACTGGCAGAAATTATAACGAGAAGTTTCGTCCGTGTTACCTTAGAGACATGGGCTAAAAAAAAAGCGAAGAAGAAATATGTGTTAATGGCAGTATATATAGATATAATAAATATATTCAAATTCTTTTATCATTGATCTTTAATTTTTTTCTACCATACTTAAGAAAAGTTCAATTACAAAATTGAACACTTCTTTAAGCATAAATTTCTAAATGTTCCATGATTCTTTGGCAAGCCTAGGGCAGATACGAGAACGGCTTTGTCTCAGTTTTCCGCTTGCTTTGTAATTGAAAACCGATATTTTCCAGTTAATTGTTCAATTTCTTCAGACGTCAATCAGGCTTGTTTTCTCTCACAACAAAATAGATATCGCTATTACTTTCTTCGCACGTCATCTGATTCAGATACGTTGCCAGGTACATTTCTGATGTACATGTGCACGATAAGGGGCTGGAGAAGAGTGAAATAAATTCCTTTCTGGAAGTTTAAAACATTATATATATATATATATATATATATATATATATATATATATATATATATATATATATATATATATATATATATATATATATATAAAACAACAGCTGCGTCTAGCAGCGCCATCAAGTCTAGTTGTCAGTCAGATTTTCAAGGCGCGTGTCGTTGATGTTACCGTATTTATTTCATTAAAAGGAAAGGGTCTATTTGAGAGAATATTGGATGTACAAGTTATTTATTCAGCTTAAACTCAGTATGATTTAATTAAAGGAAACAATAAAGAACTGGTTTGTAGTGTTGAAAATGGAGTGAAAATGTGAAGAATTTTTAAAGGAGTATGTATTGCGTCATTAATGCCTGCTTTGATGACGACGTTAATCTTTCTCCATTATAATCCGAGATGATGACACAAGTTCGACGTGAATGTAACGTGTTGAATAAGCTTTGACAAACTGAATCTACCAAATGTTAAATAATGATTGGCTACAAATATTTATGTATGGTATACAATTTTTAAAACGGTAAACTGTTGTTGACTTTTTGGCTTTAAGAAAAACGATGGTGGTTTATATTTCAAATGCGCAAAGACCTCTCCCGCATACAAGAGCTTGAAATTCGATCAGCCAGTTGCCTTTAAGTATACGCAATATTCTGCTCACAAATGGGAAGAGGGATGGGAGTGATGATATCAATAAACTTTTCTTCTGGCGCAAGTTTGTATTGCTCTGATCACAAATTCTAAGTATATAAACGTGAGCGGGGAGGGGCAGGAAAAGGGCGTCGAACATTTTACTTGATACTTTTAGACTGTGTCTTTGACTGTTTATCAGCGTGGAATGTTCCTCTTTTTAATTTTCCGAATCTTTTTTTTAATTTTCTGTCAACTTCTACATAGATTCAGTATATTTATTTTCCTGACAAGTCAGTATAAGCTTGTGACTGCCTAGTTGAAGACTGTTGATTTGGGAATCCTTTATACCGGAGTGCTATGGTATCTTGGATTTTTAAGTTTGCGATCTAATCCAGCAGTAGCGAGTTTAAGAGGATATATTCTATCTGACAAGATGGGATAGGGCCATTATTTGGAAACAGTGATATTCGTATGTATTATTTATAAAAATAATGTACTCTTCAACAATCCCTAGAATTCCCGAGATCATCTGGTAAAAAGAACTAGTATATTGTGGTCATCTTGGGTATATGAGATAACTACAAGACAGATGGCGCTATGCCGGAAAATTACCGAAAATCTCGAATAGTGTGATATCATAGAATCCACGATATTGTAGGAAGCTACGATACCGGTACATACTCTGCGCCATAGTCGCCAAATAATTTTAAGAAAATACCGGAACTTGTCAAGTTTGACCAGTACCACTATTTATAGAAACTGATCTCGAAAACAAAGACGCAGAGAAGCATCCAACTTTGATTATCCAGTTTGATTTAATTTCTGTGCAAAAGTATGGCCTACATGCACATCCAGTACACACAAGTTTTATTTCTTCAACGTTAACATTGATACCTACCTAACAAAAATGCATTAGTGGTTTGAGTCTTAACAACGGTATTCTCAACCATTATAGATCTCTGCATTATAATGTGTTTTTTTTTAGCCATGTTGTTGTTGTAGGGTTTAACGCCATTTTTCAGCTCAAAATAGGCTATACATGGCGGCCAGTATTAATGGTGGATGAAGAACACGGAAAGAATCACCGACCCACGAGAAACTACTGGCAAGTTTTCTCATATACCCACTTGGGCCAAAACTGAGACTCGAACCCACGCAGACAGATGTGAGATGACAGCAATGCACATTTGTAGATAGTGCTTTTGGTTGACATAGTGTATTTTTCGATTTGATTCTCGCTCTGTTTTTGTATGAAGTCGTGTGTGTATATGTTAGTTGGCGTGCATACACGTGCGCACTAAGCGGCAGCCAGGTAAATTTGAAACTCCTCTACCCTGCGACAGAAGAAAATAACCATAGAAACGACTGGGGTTGGGGTAACTGGCTCATATCAGAATTTTTTTACAGATGTGTTTGGATATGAAATGTTTGTCACTTGCAGTGCCCAACCTGTTTGGTCCACAAATCGTCCATGCGCGTGTGCAATGGATCCACGTGACCCGAGAGAAAGAGAGTATACCAGATGCATTGTGTTTGTATTAGCAATTTCAAAATTTTGAAGAGAGTACAGTTTTAAGGAATTTAAGAGAATGATAGCAACGGTCTCAGCGATCATCGAGACTATTGGTATATTTTACAGGATATAAAACAACCCAACAGCTGAATGTTGTGGTACATAAGGTATTACCGGTCTAAGGGAGATAATTTGTGCTTACTTGTCAAGATAGAGTTAGCGCGTTCTTCAACATTAACTTTGATCTTGCAATATATATTTTGATATGTAGACAAAAAACGTTGTTTTATTTTAATCAATGCAAAACAAAACATAAGAACTGCTTCCATTGGACTGTTTTTTTTAAAACCAAAATTATTATTTGACATTTTTGGAAAGTTTCACTGACAGCCTGAATTTCTTAAATTTTCTAGTAAAATACTAAAATAAAATAGAGGCCAACAGTCATGCATACAATTATATTGTTATAAAGGATATACAATTTAACAATTGAAAAGAAAATTATACAATTTTATATAATGCATTGTTATTAAGGCCATTAGGATACAAAGTATCTAATTTATGAATCCAATAAGTCTCTTTTATGAGTCTATTCATGTCTCCATGCACAATATCTATTGGCATGAAAGAAAAATCGAGTAGACAGTGATTATTGGTATTAAAATGTGTAGAAATATTAGAGGAAAACTGAGGATATTTATAATTTTTTATATGAAAGCGATGTTTATTCCTTCTTTTAGAAACTTGTTGAAGTGTTTGTCCATCATATTGCAATTTCTTTTTACAGATTTTAAAACAAATCATGTCAGTTGATTCGCAGTTGGATGTGATGTGATTATGATTTTTAACGTAGCTTTAACAATTTTTCAGTCATATCGCTACGATGTCTGCAGTGTGGCAGTTTATAGTGATGTCTAGCACTGGGGCATCATACCGCAGACATGTAGCATGATCACCCACCCAGTCACATTATCCTGACACCAAGCCGATCAGTCCTAACACTAACCTCTTAATGCTGAGCGTCAAGCGAGGGAGCGGTTAATAACCTTTTTGTAAGTCTTTGGTATGACTCGACCGGGGATCGAACCCACGACCACCCGCATTCGATGCCGACGATCTAACCACTAGGCCACTGGAGCGGTTGATTCGCAGTTAGTGTTATAACGTAGAAAAAATGTCTCTTTTGTATTAGTGCTACTAAAAGAACCATTTTCTCTTATGTTTGCACATTGGGAGCACAGGTGTCTATTACATTTAGATGACGATAATTGTCTTTATTTATTATTTTCATTATGTTTAGTTCTTTTTAAAAAATCTTGCAAATTCTTGCAAATTTAATTTTTCTAGGAAATACTTTATTTCTTTTTAAAACACAATGTTCGAAATGTGTCTTAGCAAGAATTTTACTTGGGGTTATGTGCAATCCGTTAAAGTCAGATCTCTATTGTCCTACGTAAGTCACTGCAGATTCTAGTCGGACTGAGGTCATGTGATGCATATAAAATCCAAATTTATGGTCCAAGGTCAAAATGTCCTTCAGGCCACAAGATATATGCGTTCGCTGCAAACTCGGAGTTATGTGGGACAGCTAGGCTTCGCCTTTTTCTAAATAGAAACATTCCTATTTCTGGAATTCCCAATTCCTAATATGCTAAAGGATAGGAATGAGGATCAAATGCGGGCGAGGAAGGAAATAAAGTTGTTGTTAATGTTGTTGTTGTTGCCAGGGTCGCGGACAGGGTAGGACCAAAATCCGGAGGCCCACAGCAGCCAAGGAGACGACTGCCGTCACAATTCGTAATTCATAGGGTCCTGATAGAGAAATCCTGTCCGCGGGTTTGGTGTTGCTGTTTTTTTAGCTCTTCTGCAAATGTTATTGCTATTGGTGTTATCGCTCCTATGGTTGTTGTTACTACTAGTATGGTTAGCCTTGTGTCTATGCAGACTGGTCTTTTACGTCTTTCAAGTATATTCCAAGTACTTTGAAATTTAACCGATTATTGGTTATATCATGCCGAGGAAATATGAACTCTCCAAGAAACACCGGGAGCAATGTGATGAAATCAAATCTCTTTAGTCCAACGAGGAGACCTCACATAGACCGATACCAATTAATATTTGGTGGACCTTTAACTATACCTGTTCGCAAACTTTAGTGGCTTCTCAGATGAAGCACGGCATCTCGTGTTAAAGAGAATTATCGTTTGTTCCAAATACAGTGTACCACTTTCATAAATCGGAAAGGTGCAATTGCGTGTCTCTATTATTTTCATGTAGAACATGTATAACCTTAAGATCTGTTTTGAATCATAATAGAGAGAAATTAGAGCATGGATCTAAGAGACTGCGATATACTTAAAAATATATTATTTTAATGAATATGTATTTGTTTTCCTATAACCCAATTCATATTCATACTTTGCTAATACGAATGTGTAATTTTGATACGGAGGAGAGCGAAGAATCAATAGTCGATATATCATTGACAAAGATTAGAAAATGCGTCTTAAACGATTGAGTCATTTACAATCCATATTTGTCGCAGGCTATGCTTTATGAATATGTTAACATGGATTTGAAAACGTGTCATTAACGATTTAAAACTAATTTGCAACCTATATTTATTACAGTTATTGGTTTATGAATATGTAAATATGCATTTTTTTTTACAGGTTTACAAAAAACTTCGAATTTTAACTTACAAATAGTAAAGAGATGAGTAATATAAATGCAGAAAAGTGTGACAGTGTGACTTCTAGCAGGCAATAGTAACAGTGTCACCACAAGCAGACAAATTTGACAATATCACCTCAAATCAAACAAGCGTCAATGCGTCACCTAAAGCTGACAAGTTTGAAATATCAGTAGTATATGGGGCCACTTTAGTGTGAATGGGACTTCCATGTCAAAAAAGTGTCGCGGAACTTTGGCGTCAAGGGAAATTTGACATGATGAAAATTGGGCCTGTATAGCCTCAATTAATATTGGGCCTGTATAGCGGCAAAAAATAGTGGGTCTGTTGAGCAACAAGGGACATGGAACAGGTAGGGTGACGTCAGAGTACTTGACACTTATAAAAATGTTGCAAGTGCCTAAACTGAATACGCAGCTATTCAAGGGAGGGACATATACAATAGAGATATAGACATAGATAAACATATAGATAACACCACACAAAATTGACAGAGATGTTCCAAAGAAAGACTCACATACAGAATAGAAACTCCAAAAGAAAAGACTTTTGTATGGGTACAAAACATTATTCAAATATATAAATAGGCTCTACAGCCTGTCTGGATGAAGGAGAAGAACGAGTGCATTGCCCAGCTGGTCAGCGCATTTTTGTCAGTCCAACCTGTTACCATCAATATTGGAAGACTCAAAGTTGACTGAACAAATATGCTTGTCAGCTAATGAGATTGTGCCCTACTTGCCCTACTTGTTGAAAAGTCATGCGTACCAATATTGCCAAGACTCACGTCTCTTCAGGAAAGAAACGATGTTACATTTTTCTCCGAATCATGGACTTGGAACATAAATGATACATTCAAAAATACCAATCTAAAATGAATAAGCAGACAATGACCATAGGAAGGCAATTTCATCTTTTACAATGCATGCAAGAGACTGGCATTCACATTCTTAATTTCTGCGTGGCTCGCCGAGCGTGTGAGAAGTGCATCTAAGAGCTTATCTTTACTCATTCCCTCACTGTATCGAGATTCTTGGAGGACGTAAAAATAACTTTCGTGGATCAAACACATTTGCCGATTTTGCCCAATGGATCTTATATATATATATATATATATATATATATATATATATATATATATATATATATATATATATATATATATATATATATATATATATATATATATATGAGACATAGAATCAAGATGACCTCAAACGTTACGGAGATTGTCATCGCCATGCCACGGTTATGACTCACAATTTCTCGGGATATAATGGGCAATTTCTTTTTAGATACTATGCGGAACAAAATGCCTAATGTTCTAAAGTCATTTTAAACGTTGCCAAATTCATTTCCTCGCTGGCTACAGTACTTGTGCGACAAGGAAGACAAATGGATCCAAAATGCCTGCAATAGAGAAGGCGAAAAGACCATCGGAAGGTATTCTGTGGATGGTTGAGGCTTAGAAAACCCTCAGATCGTGTACGAGTTTAACGGGTGATTACTTCACGGATTTTTTCTGCTACCCTCAACGTGACACTAAAAACCAGTTTTTACAACTGACCATGGAAGGCTTGTACGAAGCTACTTGTCAGCGACGATTGAAGGTAGAAGAGAAAGGATACCAATTGCAAGAAATGTATGAACACATTCATGATCACCGATTGAAAACCGATCCAAAGTTTAAACGCTTCGTGGAAAGTTACAAGCTGGTGGACCCACTGAACCCACGGAACAGTTTGTACGGAGGTAGGACAAATGCCACCTGTTTGCTGTACCAAGCTGACTCAGAGAAAGGATAAAAAATCAAATACTTGTACGTGTATTCTCTGTATCCGCGTGTGTGCAAATATTGTCATTTTTCCGCGAGGCACTCAAAATTGCTGACAACATTAGACAATACTATCAGGTGCAAAGTCTTGCTTCCCACAAATTTGTATTATCCAGTTTTACCACATCACTACCAAGCAAAACTTATGTGGCCCGTGTGCCGTACACGTGCCGAAACGTGCAACCAAGACCGACTTTGTCAGCACACTCAGGAAGAACGCGTACTGAAGGGAACGTGGGTTAATGTGGATTTGTTCAAAGCTCTGTACTTGGGACACTACAGTCACCAAGAGAGAATGATGAATACTTTCAAACTGCAAGTATCGAGCGTCAGACTCAAGTCTAACGAAACACTCGAGTGCAATGTTGTGAGGATCACATCACCAATGCAGTACATCTTAGTTGTTTATTTACTAACGCCATGACAAACTATGTGAAACCAGTGCGACTTCCAAACCACAAGACTTTACCTTATGGACATGCTGATATCACCCAGTATAAAACGGGACAACTTCCAAGAACGACACTTCATTGCGAGGAAAAACACCGAGAAAGATGAATCACTCTACGCAGATGAAAAAAGGTAAGGCACAAACATCATTGACTTCTTTCACCACCATACCGTAACAGCAAAGCGCGTCCAAGAAAGAAAAAGATTCAATAAACTTAAAGGAGTATTTTAGCATCCAAATGACTTAGACGGCAACTTCGAGAAAATTTAGGACGACAACTTGCACCTACACAGTGAAGCCGAAGAAGCGGTTTCATTACGGACATATTTGACTCACTGTTAGAGGAACTCAAGTGTCAAGTGAAAAATCGAGGTCGTTTGAGCCTATCTATGTATCACGACAGTTTAAACTCTCGGATTTAGAACACCTGTAGAATAACTTCTTCCAAAATATTGGCTATTACTTCGACGATGCAGACGATGAGATAAAATTTGATATCACCGATGAAAAGTGATCATTCACATGGCAGACGTTGTACCTCCATGGAAGAAGACAATAACTACCATTAATCTACTTATTATTAAATGTACCTAGCACAATGGACGTAACAGCAGATTTAAGAATGAGTGGGAGTATGTGATGGAAAACATCTACGCTGGGACACAAGTAGTAGACAGATTTATAAAACGCGACGGATATAGAGAAAAGCACGAACTTTGTCTAATTCGATTGTTTGTTACTTATTTTTAGTTAATGGAAAGTATATAAGTTGTATATGTTTCTTTTGAAGACATGAACTTCAATTTGTAAAGTATTTTTTTTCCAGAACCAAGAAATAGATAACTTGTAAATATGTTTGTTTAATGTCTAAATGTTTATGTATTAAATGAATAATGCTTAGGCCAAATCACAGGACGTAAACCCCATGTATATATTTGATTAAATATTTTGTATCCATAAAAAAGTCATATCTTTTGGAGTCTCTATTCTGTGTGTGAGTCTTTCTTTGGCATATATATGCCCCATTCTCTGTGGTGTTATCTATGTCTCTGTCTCTCTATTGTATTTGTCACTCCTTTGATTAGCTGCGCATATTCAGGTTAGGCATTTCAACATTGTTATAAGTGTCGATTACTTTGACGTCACCCTACCTGTTCAATTT